TACTACTTTTACTACTACTACTTTTACTACTACTACTACTACTACTACTACTACTACTACTTTTACTACTACTACTTTTACTACTACTACTACTACTACTACTACTACTACTACTACTACTGCTACGACTTTGTACTTCTACTGCTGCTGCTACTGCTACTACTGCTACTAATACTACTCATAATTACTTCTGCCAGCTCAACTGCGACGACGACCACGACGGCTGCCACTGCTGCTGCTGCTACTACTACTACTGCCTGTTACACCGCCAGCCGGGAGGGCACACGACGAACAGTCGGTCTGAAGACATCACATCGACATGCAGTATGCATGCGCCGGAGATAACAAGCTCGGAGATACGAGAGAGTTCAAGGTCGAAGGGGAACAGTTCGGAGCCACGTACGAGCTCTCTGCCATGCAGACGCCCACAAGCATACATGTGCACGGAAACATGGCACATGTCAGTACTTGTGCGACAAGTGCGCTGCAAACCCCTCCAGGTATGCCAGCGCTTTGTGTGGCATGATTGGTCCCGTGCTGGCCTTCCCACAAGCTCGCTGGAGATCTGCTAGCTCGTTCTGAAAGTTGTAGAGGTAGCTCTTCTGCGACGTCTTACCTTAACTGTTTGAAAAGAGGAGCCGCGAAGCTTGCACTGGCTCCCGGTTTCTACATGCACGATTGTGCAAAGCTTGCGCCTGGATGTGCGGCCTTGTCCGCGTTCGCCTTCTTCACCAGTTCCTGCAGCGCTCCAAGCAGCCACCCTCTACAGCCTCGGAGAAAGCCTCGACTTTCAAAGTCCCTACATGAGTCAAAAAGACATGTAAGCTGCTTGATGTGACCACGCCGTCCTGATACTCTGGATAGTGCGTTGTGAACACCCCAGTCACATGGGAATGCTCTGCAGCTTCTGTCCTGTTGGGAGGCAGCTCCGTCAGCCCCAGGATTCAAGACAAGTCAACCCCAGGAGAAGGGACCACAAACTCCCTTAGCAAAGCGCCAGTACTAAGTAAGTCGTGGACTACTGCCCTCAGCATGTTCTCTGCAGGAACCTATGTAGTTGGTGAGCTTGTTATTGAAAACTTCGCATACTTCTTGTGCATTTCCGCATGAAACACAAAACTTGACCTCATGCGCACTGCCTGCCTGTAAGCCTGATGCTCCAAAGCAGAACGGTTTACATCCCTGCACGTGCCAGCCCGTCCCAAGAACACGGGGCGTCTCACCGTCCTTAGCCAAAGCTGAAAGAGAGGTTGCGCAGACTTCAGGCAGCGCCGCAACACGAAAACTAAAACAGCAACACAAACCAAAGAGCAACACACATCCGGATCGGATAGCATGTGATGACCCTGCGAGCAACATATTTCATTAATGAGAGCTCGAGGAAGGATCATAGAGTTATAGGGGACAGATCGAAAGCTTTCGAAAATCCTGAACAACAAACGCGGCTTCACGGAAACATGCATTACCCGAAGGACATGCACGGCTTCAAAGAAACACGTGCTGGAAAGTCGACGGTGCATGAGAGATAGCCTGAATAGCGGTGCCGGGCCGCCCTCTTCAGAAGCGTGTACCGGATGATGGTAGAGACCAAGGAAGTCTCCACCTGCTGTAAGGTGGCTTGAACTGGCACAGACTACATCACAAAAGATGTCTGAGATACCCTCGAGGTCAAGCAACCAGCTGGGATCTCGTCAAGCCTTTGAAGACTGAGGCCTGCGGGTTGAGGATGGGCAGCACCATTCCTTCCACAAAGGCCGAGTGCGTGGAGAGCCTGAGCAATCTGGCCAGTCCAGTTTACATAAGAGCTGAGCACTTTCATTGTGAACTTCTGACTGGAAAACTGAGGCGTTGGACTGTGTGAACAAGGATGCAGCGTGCGATTTGAACGGGTCAAAGAGGTCGTGGAGGAACTTGGCCTGGCTGAGGGATGAGGTGCTACGTGCGTTTCTATGCGCGAGTTCTTTGTATCGCTCAGGGAGGTTTAGGGAAAAGCTGAACCCTCCGGCTTGGCGATGACAGAAACGCGGAGGGGGTGGTGCCGAACCGCTGCACAAGTTGCCGTGCTGTTTCGACCTCGAAAACCTTCTCTTCTCGATACGGATGTGAGCGGGCGATGCAGCACAACAGCTAAACAGGTAGGTGGTCCTGCTGCATCTCGGACTTGATAATGAGGCTCAACCTCTGGAGCAAAGCGAGTTCTAGTGATTTTAATTTGAGGTGAGCACTGAAGTCTGTAAGATTCTGAAACCTTGGAAGCCTTCATTTGTTGTAGTGTTGCCAATCTTGCAAGGAAAAAACACAAAACAACGGATACGACGTCTCATAAACACAAGGTAAACCCAGAATCTCGACGACATCTCCACAGACTCTGCTCTGAGACACCAGCATAGATTTGAAGAGATGAACCGTGCCTGAGCAGCAGGCTACAAGGAACATGCTCCACAAAGGCTCGTGTCAGGAATTGCAGCTAGCCACTTGCATGTAGCTGAAAGGCCCGGTGTTGGCATGTACGCGTTGAGACAAGGAGAAAGGGCATCTACCGGCGGGCAACTTTCAGGAGACTCAGTCTCCAGCCCCGATTGCCAGGATTGGGGACCGAGCGGGCGTCTTCACTGCAGATGGGATCGCAGCTGAGGTCCCGGCGTGGCTGGAAGAGATCATGATAGATGCGCTCGCACATGGTGCGGAAGGTGCGGGTGTCTGCTTCCTCGAAGTCAGCTATTCAAGCTAACTTCCGGTAATTTCATACATGCGCCTCGGGCACATGTATGAACCAACGATGACGATACAACGTTACAACCTCGCCTCGCTATCTTCACCCGGCTTTGCTGAAGGGAGCAGTTGCAAACACCCCCCGCAGGTAGTGATACAAATCAAACAAGACACTGGCTGAAGGAATACTCTCTCAGCTTTCCAGCCTCCCAAGAGCCTAGCTGAGTCTAGCTTGCACGATCTTGGACAATTTTGGGGATCTAAGCTTGGGTTCTTGGACGGAGAGGGTAAAAAGCGTTGGATGCACCATCGCGGAGGTCTTGGTCTGGATCGCCATCTTGGTCTCAACATGCAAAGCCGCCAATGTTGGCGCACGCTATCAGGAACTGGGATGGCCAATACGTGCGCTGACTTCAGGACAGGCCGCGTCCAAGCCGTTAGAGTTCGAACTGGTTTTCGATAAAGCGTGGGCCATCATAGACGATCTTCGCGAGGATCAGGGATAACGGGAGCTGGTAGGGGTAGCCGCAGCGTTGCTTCTCAAACATCAGCTTCTGCCAGTCGACGTGCTAAGTGACGAATGCAGAATGTTTTTTATGGACCGTGTCTTTCGCGAGGCGGCACAGGCGTAGACAGGGCTGTAGCGCGTATCACGGCTTCTGTCTGTGCTCTGGGGTGTGTCTGGTTGTTAGGCCTGTCTCGTCTGACCTTCCCCTATGCAGCCAGAAGAGAGAGAGAGAGAGAGAGAGAGAGAGAGAGAGTGTGTGTGTGTGTGTGGG